TTATTTAAAGAGTTATTACGTAATATAACTAATGTAATTTGTTTAATTTATTTTAGATGTAGATTATATACTATGTATAACGGCGTATCGGAAGATTCGTTCCAGGGAGCTGACGACGAATAAATAGCTCCTTCTCGTTCTTAATCACCGCACTAGATGGTGGTGAGTGAGGTGCAGCACCCCTCTGCCTTGCTTCTACCCCCGGATAAAAATCAATGGTAACCATTGGACACGAGCTCAGTGGATGCAGAGCAGGCGCAGAGAGTAGACGAAAAATGTTCTGTCCCTGTCAATTATGAACCCCGATCGTGAGCCCACAGTCAGAGTACTGAATTACACAGCTGATTAATTATATACAAAGAAGACTCAACATAAATTAATTACATTTCGTTTTATTCGGATCAGTAGCATTGAATTCTGGATTCCCACACTAAGCCCTGAAATCTTTTCTTCTGACTTTCACGTACGAAACTTTACCGCATCTCAGTCTGCCCACATTTCGAAACAGCAAAATAACGGCACAGCTCAAGTTCTTTGACGACCCTGAGACCGCAGGATCGTCGGTTTTTGTGTAATAACACGAGAATAATTCACCCGTCTCCTTCATAAACTCGTGTAACAGAGAAAAAACATGCAGCTTAGTATGAAATCAATACAGTCACATACGTGATATTGTTCAACTTATTTCCATTTACACAGTCGTTGATTGTATTATATTTCCGTTTTATTATTTCAACAAATATTACTGGATTTAACGTACGTCTGTCACCTTCAAACTGTACGAAGTATCAAAAGCCTGAATATGACAAATAGAAGGCGAAACACACTCCTCTTTGCTAAATTAAGTCTATTTAACAGTTCTGAAGATGGGAGTAACAATTCTGTATTATACCGAGTGTCGGGTTTGGTTCAAGATTAGGCCCCTATTGGACAAAGCCGTCAGCACCCAAGATTTATCCATACACAAAAAATGTGTAACCAACAATGTTTATACATCTGTGACATCACACTGCACATTTCACGGGATAACACATTTATGTGTTAGGACTATAACATGACAAATACTAAATCAAGAAATCAAAAGTATAATATACTGTGGTCCTAAGAAAAGTCGTTAGAAAATTTAGATTTTGTAGTGATGTGGCACTTTTGCATCCATAACGTTTGAATGTCTCTCTAAAAACAAGGGCAATACGTCTCGGGGTCCCAATGGTTGAATTTAGACACAATTTGGTACAATTGTACACTATGGGAGACCGGGAAAACCTGATTTCGTGTAAAGTCGGCCTGTCTTCAATAACAGCAGATGGCATTGAAGATCCATTGTCGTTCCATTTGGATCTTAAAATAGGCAAAAAACAAATGTCGACTCAGTAAATCCATATTCTTATTGAAAGTAACGAAACTAATTTTAGTTTCTAAGTTCGCCGAACTGCCAGTGTGTCAATGCAAATTACTGTCATCGATAATTTGTATACAACCGACATTTTGTTTGATCGCTACTTC